TGCATGGTATTTGTTACCAGCAACAAAATTCAAACTTTTTAGCCAAGTTAAACGCTAGAAAACTTTTACCCACAACTGTAGCCATGACAGCCTTGCAGCATTTGCAGACTTTTCTGAGGAGATCGGTGATGTTCATGAATGTGATTTTTTAAAGAAATATTTTATTTCTTTATTGTTAGCGCAAGGGGAAGGGAGGGAGAAAGAAGAGAAACATCAGTGGGTGGTTGCCCCTTGCCCCCTACCAGGGACCTGGCCCGCAACCCAGGCACATGCCCTGACTAGGAATTGAACCTGCTTCCCTCTGGTTCGCAGGCTGGCGCTCAGTCCACTGAGCCACACAAGCTGGGGCACAAATGTGATTTTTTTATGCTGGGCAGTGACATTGGTCAGCATCTGCAGAGCTCAGGGAACCAGGGCCTCCCAGGATTCTAAGCTCATGTGTGGCAAATGGGTACAAGATGGACCAGTGGGTTTTCAAGTAAGGAAGTGTGAACCGTTCATCCAAAAGGTTTCCAGCTTCGCACTGGTAAAAGGCAGCCCTGCACACTTGAATGGAAAGAGGCCCGTGTGGGCGCAGCTCCGGGTGGCAGATGGGGGGCTGGCCGACGAGGAAGGACGCGTGTGCCCTGCCGGGTGACGGATGCGTGAATGAGTTAGGGTGTGCGCAGTGAGTTTGACTTCCATACAACGCCTGTGCGATCTTTGGGAACTGACTGTCCCTTTGCGTACCTGCCAGCGCCTGATGGTCCCTGGGCTGCGAGCATCTGGAGGCTGCTGTTGGGCTTTCATGCCTTGCGTGGGGCCTGGCACGCAGGAGCCTCACGGAACGGATACCCGTGTGCTGAGAGCACGTTCCCTGACACCGACGTGACTCTGGCTTTGTGTTTTCCTCCAGGCCCCACTGATGATGGCGAAGAGGAGATGGAGGAGGACACAGTCACAAATGGGTCCTGAGCAGCAAGGCCTGGGTATCCACAGGCCATGCGGCATCGGCCTGGAACAAGTCCTGCGTTTCGAATGTGGAACAGTAGCCTCATTTGTGTCAGCAAAGAGTTCCCGAGCATTGTTGAAATTCTGCAAGTTGCTGCTGGTCATTTTTTAATATAAAATTGGAAATTCAGATGCCTGTTTTCTACAAAGAGTAACAATAAAGGACACTCGCTGTGCTGCCAAGTTGCCTGTCATTGGGCTGAGCCTGCAGGGAGGTGTGTGGGCGCCTTTAAGTTGGAAATGTAGGAGGGCGTCGTCCCTTAACTAGGCTTTCTGGTCATCGGGGAAACTCTCAGATCGGGGTGTCAGACTCACTATTCCTGGGGACCACATTAGCCTCACGGTTGGCTTCAAAGGGCCGAAATAACTTAGACTATAGAAATGTAACTACTCCTTAACTGTTAAGGACTTGAAATCACGTTCTGCACTTAGAAAGCAACTGTGAGGCTGACGTGGCTCCTGGTGAAAATGAGTTTCATGCCCCTGGCTTAGATCTTTGAATCCTTAGTAAAACTCAGGAGTGCGTGTGTTGCCAGGGATGGACTGTGAGAACCTGCCACCTCTGGAGCATTTTCTTCTGCGTAAAGAATAGCGAGCTTCATTCCACACAGCTGGGCTTTAGGGCTTTACAAGAACCAGCATCCTTTGGAGTTTTTCTTTCATAGACATCATGCAAGTGAATTACTAATTTAAAGAGCTGGAGGGGGGCACAGCTTTCGCTTGTCACCTGAGGGAATACAGAGTGGTATGTGCCAATGTTCAGGAAGTCAGGGGAGTCATGGCTGCCCCCATGGGCCAGCCAGGGCAAGTGTCCTCACAACACCACGTTTTATCACAATTCTCACCCTGTTAGAGCCCTTCGATGCTCCTCTAAAAACCGTGGTGGAGGTGAGGGCCTCCATCCTGGAACCTGGGTTTTAGTTGGCAACCACTGCTTGCTCACACAGCTGGCTCTGCTTTTCCCCACCGGTCTGTGCACAGGCTGGTTAACTGGGCAAAGGTACAAGAGGGGAAAGAACACTAGAGGCTTCTTAGTCCTGGGCTATTGACACAGTTACTTCCGCCTACTCGCCATTGGCCAGAGTGAGACTCCTGGCTGAATCCCAAGTCAAAGCCCAGGGAAATACACTCCTCCACCTGGAGGCTGTGGTGAGGATATAGTTGTAGAGTGATGAATTGGGTTAGGTCAGTTTTGTTTTGTTTTTGTTTTTTAAGATGATTTCTTTTCAGAGAGAAAGAGAAACATCAGTGTGTGGTTGCCTCTCACTGGCCCCCTACTGGGCACCAACCAGGCATGTGCTCTGACTGGGGAATGAAACTGGAAACCCTTTGGCTTGCAGGCCAGCACTCAATCCACTGAGCCACACCAGCCAGGGCAAATCAGACTAACATGGTCAGTCAGTGATGGAATTCTGGATACTACCTTAGACCTGTTTCGGCAAACAACACCTGAGCAGCTGTATGGAGCACTTGTTTACTGAAGTAACTAGTTCTTGGCAAGCTAGGGGAGAACACGCCCTGATTAAAAGGACAAAGGTTAGAGAGAATGGGACCGCAGAACAATATGCGAGCGATTGAAAGGGGAGACCATCATTCATGCATTCTAGTAACTCAAAATCTATCAAGTCCAAGTTGAATGAGCCTGTCACACTGTGTGCATTTGCATGCACAGATGCACCGTGCTGCACCTCACGGTACAGTGGAACCCTGGTTCTTGAACTTAACTCATTCTGAAAGGCTGTTTGAGAAGCACTTTGTTAAAAAACCAAATTAGTCATACTCATGCATCCTTTCCTTTGTCACCCAAGAGACATGTGACTGATCACACATTTTTTCCGTGAATGACCTCATTGAAAACAGAATTGTTCAAAATGAGAGACAGTTGCCCTGATTGGTGTGGCTTGGTGGGTTGAGCACTGGGCTGAGAACCAAAAGGTCACCAGTTCGATTCCCAATCTGGGCACATGCCTGGGTTGCTGGCCAAGTCAGTACTGGGGTTGTGTGAGAGGCAACCACACATTGATGTTTCTTTCTTTCTCCCTCCCTTCCCTTATAAAATAAATAAATAAACATAAAATCTCAACAAAAACAACAAAAAAGGGAGCCCTGGTTGGTGTGGCTCAGTGGATTGAGTGCTGGCCGGCAGACAAAGGCAAAGCACAGGTTTGATTCCCAGTCAGGACACATGCTTGAGTTGCAGGATGGGCCCCCAGTTGGAGGCATTGGAGAGAACAGAAATATTGATGTTTTTCTTACTCTTTCTCCCTCCCCCTCACTCTAAAATTAAATAAAATTGGGGGAGGGGAGGTCAGGAGAGAGGCTGTTTTATTAAAAAGAAAAAAAAAAGGTCGGAGACATTTGAGAATCAGGGTTTGACTATATATTTAAAGCTGCTCCCAGACCAAGTATTACAACTGTAAACCCAAGAAATCATTCAGTTTTAGCACACGTTCTTCAAGATTTCAGAATAAATGAAAGCCCACCTTAAAGTGATGGTTCACCTTTTACAAGTGAGAGGAAAACATCGAGAAGTAGGTTTTAGCCCTGGCCAGATAGCTCAGCTGGTTAGAGCTTTGTCCTGATACACTGAGGTTGTGGGTTCGATCCTCAGTCTAGGGCATACCCGATAATTCAACTAATGAGTGCATAAAGAATTCAACCAATGAGTGCATAAACAACAAATTGATAGTTCTGTCAAATCAATAACATTTTTTAAAGAGGTGTTGCCCTGGCTGGTGTAGCTCAGTGGATTGAGCACGGGCCCGTGAGCTGGTTCGATTCCCAGTCAGGGCACATGCCTGGGTTACAGGCCAGGTTCCCAGTAGGGGGCACATGAGAGGCAACCACACATTGACATTTCTCTCCCACTCTTTCTCCTTCCCTTCCCCTCTCTCTAAAAATAAATAAATAAAATATTTTTTAAAAAGAGGTGTAAAAAAATTCAGCCTAATACATGTGAAGATCTAATTGGCTTCATTAAGTGAGTCATGAATCAGGCAGCATCTTATCTAGGAACTAGAAGGGCACTCAGAGGGGTTATAAAAAAAAGTAGAAGGTTTTCAGAGGAAGAAAGATGCGGCAAGGGAGCTATTGAAAAAGAAAGAAAAGGGTAGTATTTGAGATCTTGCTCCTCCAGTATATGTTGCCAGCTTGGTAAGAGAGAGAGAGAGAGAAGGAAGGGAGGGAGGAAGGAAGGAAGGAAGGAAGGAAGGAAGGAAGGAAGGAAGGAAGGAAGGAAGGGAGGGACTATTAGATGGGGGAGCATCTTTGAGGGGAGGGAATGGCAAGAGTTTTCATCAGCAGATTGCCTCTTCTTCCTGGGTTGGGGACACAAGAGGGATTGTGGCAGATGCTTTACTGGTGTCTAACCAGAAAGTTCTGGACTAATTAACCATGTTTCTGGGAGAGATTGAAACAGCAATTAGGTCAGGTATTAAAAGTAGGTTTAGTATCATGGGAGCCTATGGTTTTCTCTTTAAAAATTTGTCAGCTTTTGGGACTGCTAGGTTTGTTCACTTCAAAACCTTTCCCCCCCAAAAATACCCCTCCAAGTCAAATTGCAGATAGGCTAGGATAAGGTAGGCCTCAGAGAGGTGGTGAGTGGCAGGTGAGGAGTGGAAATGGGTGGAGGGCATTGCAGGCAGCGGCAATGGCACGGCACCAATAACCGCGAGTGTTTTGTGACAGTGAAATTGAGAATTAGAGCCATTGCTATAATTCATCTCAAGAGGTTTTGATTCTGGAGAGGAGGAGAAACGTGAGGATCGACGGCACTTTCTTAGACTAAAAGGTAACACCGGCAGCAGGGGCAGGCTGCCCTGCTTGGGTACAAAAGTAAACACGCTAAATCCGCAAGTAGGTCAGTGATGGGCCCCCTGGGAGGAGGCACCGCTCCCTAGGGCTCAAATGTCCCCAGGCCCCGGCGGCTCCATGGCCCGTCCACTCCTCTGTGATTGGCCATGTCGCCGAGGCCACGCCCCCGAGTACGTATACGTGGGGGCGTGGCGGAAAAAGAGGAGGCCGAAGGCTGACGCGGCGGTGTCTGGCAGAGCAACTGCTGCCATGGAGCGGGACGGGGAACAGCTGTCCGCGCGCCCGGCTCTTGAGACAGAGGGGCTGCGTTTCTTGCACGTCACTGGTGAGTTGCCACGGGCCGCGGGGAAGCGGGGTGGCGCCGCCATGTTCGGTGCGTCTTGCTCCGCGGCGCGCTGGGCCGGGCGGGGCCGGGCCGCGCCCGGATCGGGCCTGGGGAAGCCTTGGCCCTCCTGGAGCCCCACTTCCCAGGGCGGCGCCGTCCGGCTTTTATATTTACTTTTTGCGAAGCAAGCTCTTGGGCTGGGGTTTCTGGGATCGCTGGGCCTTTGGCGTTTGTCTCCGGGCCTGGTTGCCCAGCTCTTCCCTGCCCGCCCACGCTTGTAACACCCTGCGCCTCACCAGCCCCCCACGCCCACCCTTTTCTCTCCATTCCCGGGGTCTCAGAGGCCTGCCCCCTCCTGAGTTGCAGGAATTCTTTATCCCTAGTAGTATCATTTTTTTAGCATCTTGCAAACAATTTTCTTTCTTTCTTTTTTTTTTCAGTGGGCTCATTGCTGGCCACCTACGGCTGGTACATCGTCTTCAGCTGCATCCTTCTGTATCTGATCTTTCAGAAGCTCTCCACGCGCCTGCGGGCCTTGAGGCAGAGGCAGCTGGACCGAGCCGCGGCTGCTGTGGGTTAGTAACTGATTGAAAATCCGGGATGTTGTTAGGAGTAAGAAGTACATGATTCTCATTAGTATGAGAAGGAAACTTGTGTGCTTCTGAAATCGATTTTGGAGAACGTGCAACAATTCTCTCACGTCAGAGATTTTAATTGAGGGGGAAAAAACCCACCTGGCGGTGCATATCTTATTGAAGGGTTTTTCATTTATAGGATGGGTTAAATTGAAAACTTCACTCATGGGTCTGCCTGTTAACCCAGCTGGCTTTCAGACGTTTGTGAGTGAGGAGAAACTCAGGTTTAGTTCTTCAACTCACTCATCAGACCTGACTTCAAATTATACTTGGTTATTTTAAAATCATTCTCTCTGCAATGGTAGCCTTTTCACCACTTAGAAACTGTAGTTTGAAGCTACAGTTGCTGAGGCCATCCCAAAGAAATGTTAAGTGCTTTGAGGATAGCGGCATAATTAAATACAAATGTTGCAGCATCTGAATCACCATGGCTACGGAGGTGGGGGTGGAAAGCAGGTTTAGTAACAAAAATAGTCATTCATTCCAACGTGACTCTCTCCACTCCCCCAAAACCCTGTGGTCCTGCCATTCTCAGTCTTTTTGACTGTTGGCTACATGCATGTCCACCAACAAAGTACAGAACACAATTATAAATTTTTCATAAGATGCAGGATTTCATGGAGTGCCAGGTGGTGGTGATGGGATGGCACGTCAGGGAGGATCATTTTTAGGAAGCACTACAGAACGTAACTGCAGCAAAAGGTGTGCGTTGTGCTACCCAAGTTTGTGAGAACAAGATAAAAAACACTTAATGGATTTTTTTTAAGCTCTTTTTAAAAAAATATTTTATTTTCAGAGAGGGGAAGGGAAGGAGAAAGAGGGAGAGAAACATCAATGTGTGGTTGCCTCTCATGTGTCCCCCACTGGGAACTGGCCTGCAACCTAGGCATGTGCCCTGACTGGGAATTGATACACTTGATGGGTTTTATTCAAAGAATGGGCCAACAGAAATGGAACTGAAACTCTCATTTCTATAAAATGGAACTTTTGTTCTTTTTTTTTAAAGATTTTAGTTTTAGAGAGAAGAGAAGGGACGGGGAGAGAGAAACATCAGTGTGTGGTTGCCTCTTGCACGCCCCCTCCTGGAGACCTGGCCCACACCCCAGGCAGGTGCCCTCACTGGGAATCAGACCAGCAACCCTTTGGTTTGCAGGCGGATGCTCAATCCACTGAGCCATGCCGGCCAGGGCTGTTTTCTTTTTAAAGTTTCAGTCAGCTCTACCACCACTACCAACAACACACACGTGCGTGCGCACTTTTTTTTTTATTATATTTTGGCCCCGTTTTTATGTGGACTCAGTTTAATGGCCTTGTTTCTCTACTATCTATAGGTAATGTAGTTCAGGTGGTAATGTAGTTCAGGTGATATTGATGTGAATCTATAAAAGGTAATGTAGTTCAGGTGATAGTGATGTGAATATATAAATTTTAAGTTTTCCTTTAAAAATTATAGTGGAACCTCAGTTCTGGAATGTCTTGGTTTTTGAACAAAACTTTGCTTCTTGACCTGACAACCCCATTCATGCCAGCACCGGTATGATCAGCAAATCACCTGTAATATTCAGTTTTCAAACAGGTCGCTTCTCAAACAGCCTTCTGGAACAAATTAAGTTGGAACCTCGGTTCTATTTTTCCCCCATTAGAAATAATGTCAATTGAAGTAACTTGTTCCAGACCCCTAAATGATTTCATTTCCATCTTTCTTACATACAGTACTGTTTAGTCTATAAGACATGTTAAAAACAAAGAGGACATGAAATATCCAGTAAAACAGAACACCTACACACACTAGAACTTACCTTTAATGCTGAAAGCTATTGGTGACTGAAGCTGGGGAGGCGGGATGGAGGAATGTTACAATATTGTGTGGAAGGGGAATCATTTGCTTCCATAAAAAACATCAGGAAGCTGCTCTTCTGGGTTTTTTCTGTCTCTTTGCTCCTGTACAACTTGCTTCAGGGTCACTGGACCTCTCTAGTGATGTTCATTTTCACCTACTTTTTTTTTTAAAGATTTTTTTTTAAAGATTTTATTTCTAAAGGGGAAGGGTGAGAGAAAGGGAGAGAAACATCACCGTGTGGGTGCCTCTAATGAGCCCCCTACTGAGGACCTGGCCCCCAACCCAAGCATGTGCCCTGAGTGGAAATTGAACCGGTGACCCTTTGGTTCACAGGCCTGACTCAGTCCACTGAGCCACATCAGCCAGGGCTTCACCTGCATTTTGACACCTGCCTGAAGTAAAACACTTGTCATTGAACAAGTTTATCATAGGGCTTTGCTACTTCTGTGTCAGGGCAATTCCTCAATAAAACTTTGCGCTTCCCTGTTTAGTGAAGTAGGAATATCCTCCGTTATTCCTCTTGTGTTTGAGGTAGAAAACCTCAAACACAAAGGAACAGATTAAATCCAGAGCCCAGGTTCCACTGTATGGAATGGTTGTTGGGTAAAGAACTGAAGTTTTTGTTGGACGAACGAGACATTTTTTTCCTGGGAACAACTCGGGCGAGAACTGAATTGAGATGGGAGACGCTTGAGAACAGGTGTGACTGTAGTTGCCCCTCAGGGGTCCTTAACATGGTGATCAGTGTGAATAGGTGAGCTCATGGAGACTTCACGGTGTGTTCATGTAACTTTAGCAGAGACCACGTAAAAACATCGGTAAAGCTGGGGCGTTGATTTCTGTGAATACTGTCTGGAAGGGTTTTTTTCTGCGTTAACAGGGATAGAATACCTAGGAATCTCTCCCTCTCCCTGTTCTAAATCTGGACTAATTAAGTGATGGGTAATGATTAGGAAAGTTTTCTTGGCTGTCTTCTAGAATTCTGGTTCACCCAGAGACTGGAGTTGGGTGGTGTCCAGGTCATGGAATGAAGTCTCGGTGTGCCCAGTAGGAGCACTGCCACGCCACCACGGGCCTCCCCCCAGACTTCCTGAATTGGCGCTGCCGAGGGAGAGGTTTCTGGTGCCAAGAACTCTGGCTGTGTACAGTCTGCCCCGTAAGCAGCCAAATTATATGCAGAAGAGGAGACTTCTTCATGTAGAATCATGTTTTTGTACTGCCTAACATCTGTGCTTTTATATATTTCTAATACTATAGACTCAAGAATTTCCATTTTATACAAAAATGGAAATTCTTAAGCTTAATTTTTTCTTCTTTTCATGGCAGAACCTGATGTTGTTGTGAAACGACAAGAGGCCTTAGCAGCTGCTCGCCTGAAAATGCAAGAAGAACTCAACGCACAGGTGGAAAAACATAAGGAAAAACTCAGACAGGTATGCGCTTTGTGTAGGTGGCCCTCACGGTGTGAGGCTGGGTGGGTAAAAGCCGTGTGCCCGCACTCGGGTGGGTCCTGGGACCAGCTGGTGTGCAGCACCATCTCCAGCAGGACTGGCGAGCTGCCCGGGGCAGGTGCTCGTGGTTCCCTCACAGCAGCGCCTCACGTAAGGGAGCTCTGTGTGTGCGTGTGCATGTGCCATGCCACCAGACACACACAGCACACATGTTGTGTGCAGCTGTGTGCTGCATGTGGTTTGGCCTCGTGGGGGCCATGTTGCAATGGATTGAGGGGTTCAGTGGGAGTTTTAGAAGATTTTTGTAAAAGCACACAGTGCGGTTTGGGGGGCATCCGTAGAAGCGGGAAGGGGAGAACTAGGGGTGAGTGTTGGAAATGACCTGCGCTGTTCACACACCACCCCTGAGAAGTGTCGACTCTTTTTCAACCCAGACACTTACTTCTGGGCTCCTCTGTCCCCTCACAGGAAGCCCCTGAGGCAGCAGCAGAGCTGGCCTCAGTCTCGGTCCCGAGTCCTCCTCCCTTTTGTTGTTTCTGTGTGGGCAGCCACCCTGCAGCCCCTCGCCGCGGCCTCCTAACCCACCTCCCTTCTCATCACACTCTTCCAGCAGCCTTTTTCCTGGGTCACTTCCTTGCTCGTCTTCTAACCCAAAATATGCATGTTTCCTTTGATCCTTTCAAAGCGCGGGTTTGGTCTCTGTGTGCTGCTGGAGGTCACACAGACCTCTGTGAGGAAGGGCCGGGGGCAGAGGCCTTGGTCCCTTCCAGGCAGCTATTTACTGGGCCATCTGGTCAACCTACCGGGGCCACTGCTCTTTCTTCTCATACCTTCTTCCACTCTCTCCTTCATTCTTTCCCCTCTCAGATCATTACTGTTTTTAGTGTGGCCTCAAACCCCATCAACACAACCACTTAGGGCAGCAGTCTTAATGGCACACGGTAGGTGATACCGAGTGCAGAGCTGTCTTTTCAACACCACAGCACACTTGGCTCATCATTCTCTGCTTTCTCTCACACTGCACCACCCTCTGAAGAAACTACCCTCCCACCTCTGTTGACTCTTGCCCTCTGATTGGAAGGGTTCCCTTTTCCCTTCTCTTCCCAAATTATTGCTGCCACAACCCACTCTGCTACTGTCGACACAACAGCCTGGCAGTGGGTTAGCAGGTTGTACTGGGTGGTCTGGAAGGGCACATACCCTGAAAACCCAGCCTGCTTGCTACACAGCACCAGGCTGCTCAGCGAAAAGGCCGGTCACCGCAAGCCCTTTGCTGATACACAGAGGAGCTCAGGCCTGGGGACGTGTGTGGTATTGTAATTCAAGACATTCCAGTGTGGCCACACGTAGGTGAGAGGATGTCACACAGTGACCAAGGGCAGCTGTCCCTGCCGCCCTGCACCCCTTTTTTCTTCTTAGTCACCCCAAAAAGGAACAAAGAGTATGACAGTGGCCTCCCATTTTTGTTGTGGGGTCTCCTGGTACTACCCGCAGCTCCCCCAGTGCTACCGAGGCAGTGCCCCACTTACGTGTAGGGGAGCAGGGCCGGCCCTTCACTGCTAATCTGCTGGTGTCCCAGCAGCCTTCTTCTGTCCGCCTGCACACCAACCACCCCACAGACGCTGTCTTCAGCGTGATTGTTCCCTGACTTCTATTCCACTTCCAAGTGCACAGGACCCAAAAGGTTCTGTTGGTGGGTTGAGCTCATCACTAGGGGGACAACAGTTTCATTACAAGTCAAATAAATGTAAGAAATGCGATGATTCTTTCTCAGCTCGAAGAAGAAAAAAGGAGACAGAAGATCGAAATGTGGGACAGCATGCAAGAAGGAAAGAGCTACAAAGGACGTGCCAGGAAGCCTCAGGTAACTAAGCAAAGACTTGGCCTAGAGCCGACACAGTCTTTGTCGATCAAGCAGAAGGTCTTGAGCCTCTGTCTTCAAACAGGAAGAAGACAGGCCTGGACCTTCCACCTCCTCAGCCGTTCCGAAGCGAAAGCCAGACAGAAAGCCTTTGCGAGGAGGTGGTAAGTACCCCCGTCTTAAAACACCAAATTCTGCTGCTTTCATGTTTTGCTTGTTTTGGTCTCCCCCGTCAACTGAGACCAGCCCCCAAAAAGGTTTGGAAGGGTGCACACTAGGGTTAGAAATAAAGGCCAAGGGGCCCTTGATAACATCTTGGGGGGGGGGGTCCAGTTTGCTCTGCAGGGTAAGGGTGTGGCCACAACGCCTGTGCTTCCAAGAGGCCTGTAACCCCTGATTCACAAGTCACCGAATAGTGGGGAAATGGCTGATTAGGCTACAAATTGATTTGGTGACTTGTCACTTGACACCCCACATCACCAGGGCAAAGACCAGGGGCAGTGTGTTCACATTCAGAGCAAATTGCATACGTATACGTACCTGTTTGATGGAAATCATTCCCTCTGCTGCTGTCTCTGCTTCCTCCCAGGTTACAACCCTTTGTCGGGGGAAGGAGGTGGAGCCTGCTCCTGGAGGCCTGGGCGCAGAGGCCCCACACCTGGTGGATGAGGCTAAGAAACCTTGCCGGTGTCCACTGTGGCACTAAGCAAGGCGAACCCTTCAACCTCCCGCCTTCGATTGCCTTAACGCACACTTTTTCACAGTGACTAAAAAGCCCAGGGGCCGTCAGGCTTATTTCTGTTCTTAACACCTCCAGCTGCGTCTAAGAGTGGACGTCAGCACTGCCCGGTGCCAACCAGGTGGTAGCAGGTCACGTCGGTTACCACTGACTCGGTCCTTAACGTGGGTAAGCTAGTCCGTAGATCACAAAAGAGTCCTCAAGTAACGATCCTCAATACAGATGTTTGGAGTCCTGACTGTGACCAGGACAGTCTCTGTGACAGGTGGCGTTGAATGACGTCTTCCTTGTAAATGGTGAGCCCACCAGCAAGGATTACTGAGGCTGACAGGTGATGGGGTTGGGGTTTTTTCTGTATATTTATTTCCATGTACAGAAAACTTTGTGAAATAAAAACTTTTAAACTGCAAAACATTTTTAGCACCCTTCCCTAAACTTAAGGGAACTCTATATAAAGAATGGATTCCTGTAAGTCGAGCATTTATGAGAGGGGCCTTATTATCAACATTTCAGCTCCCTTCATTGTTTCAGAAGTGTCATATTTCACCGTTACACTTTTTCCCCTGCTCACTGTGCCTCACCTGCACCGACCACGGCTGGCACACTCCCTGGCTTAGTTCACAGACTCAGGTTGAGCTGCTCGGTGGGCTGAAGAAACCTGTCGCCCCCTCCCCCCAAAAAAGGATGGGAAAGCAGAGCCTGAGCCTCTCACACTGTCACACCTGCCAGCAGACACTTCACACCCAAGGGTTGCAGCGGGGGCCTCCTGACGTACCCCAACCTACACTGCCAGCTGCTTGGGGCACACATGCTCTAAAGGGACCTGGAAGAGGGCTGGGCTGACTGCTTTATGGAGCGATTGCATGTTAAGGGTTGAACTATGTCTCCCCTTCTCTCCAAAAGGGGATCCAGAGCTGTTAACCTCAGCAAATGTGATCATACTTGGAAACTGGGTCACTGCCAATGTCAAGTGGAGGAAATACTGGTCTGTCCCTCATCTAACTTGACAGATGTTTTACCCAAGTGGAAAGCTGGAAATAGAGGGAGCTGCCATCTGCTGACAAGCAGCTAAGCTGATTGACAGCCACCACCAAGACCAGAGACAGAGCCTGTCCAGTCTCAGAGCACACTATGGAATCCTCCACAGCTTGGGACACGATGTGCCAATCACTGTAAACTACTTCAGGGGCACACGTCGCAGCAGAGCAGGACCCCTGCAGCCTAGACACAGCAGGATAGAAGCAGTGCTTCCCGGTGTGGGGAGGAAGTAGGACTCGGGCTCCCACGGGGGGGGGGGCGGTCTAAGTGAGCCCCAGCCCTAGGGCTGAACAAGGGAGCCCAGGGCACCAACATACCTCCACCCACCACCCTTGGGTTCCAGCCCAGATCACCACATACACACCAACATCCTGTGCTGATCGGCCACTGGCTTGTCTCCTGGGTCACCCTGTTGGATCTGGGGCACTTCACCCCTGAACCCTCACCCACTGAGGCCGATTTCAATCCAGGAGGTCAGTAGGGATGAAAGCAAGGCACACAGGTGAGGCCATTGGGAAGGGTTCCAGGAAGGGTCTTCAGCTCCAGATGGGATCCACGCTCACCAATGTGCGGGCTGCTCCATCATGACACCTGTCAGGACATGGGCCTCAGTACCTCCCATGCCAGCCATAGGCCACGTGTTTCACTCATAACCCCCATCAGTCTCAGAAATGCCCCCACACTAACCTGTGCACTCAGGATGGTGCAGGAAAGGGAGCTGCCTGCACAGCAGGGGCTTGGAGGGTGAGCCCCTGGGCACAAGGAAGAGCACGAAGCAGCCAGAGGCAAAGAGCAGGCTTGGCCTGGCCCCGCCCATGGCCTGCACCCAGACAGCACAAAAGCATGGGCCCCACTCACACCTTTCCATGCCAGTGACTGGAAGCCAACTGGGTGTTAAATGTCCTCTCACCAGGGGCATCACTTCCCAGACTGGGCCATGCAGAAGCCAGAGCTTCAGATGCAGGGACTGGGGGAGGCTTCAGCCTCGGGAGCCTAACACGGCACTCAGTTCCCCTCCTTTTCCTAACTCGTGTTTTCTAACTCAAGAGAATCCAATGGGACTTTGAGTTGCATGTTGTTGGCCAAGCCCTGGTGGACCCAGACCAACCACTGGCAACAACCCATCATCTCTGAGATGAGACTGGGCCTCCCTCACACCGAGTGGGCCCACCCACTCAGCAGAAACTGCAGCGGTGGCCTGAGACACCCCCCACACTCAGCCTCAGGGACCTGGGTGACGGCCCAGTGTCCACTATCCCAGAAGGCCTGGCAGCGGAGCTCTTTCCGAAGAGGCTCCCCCCACAGGCCACGGAAGAGCCAAACACTAACCTGGTCAGGAAGAGCCGGTGTGGAGAGGGCAGCACTGGACGGAGGTGGCAGCGAGGGGAGCCAGGGTTAGAGCATGCGTGGCCAGGACTCAGAGGACCAGTGCACCCCCCTTGAGCCTGCACTGGGACACGGGACGATGCTCTTCACTCAACATCCGTACACACCACCAGACTAAGGGGGGTCACAAACCCCAGTCCCAAAGGTCCACACCAGGGAGGCAGAGCCAGGCAGTCAACGTCTTGCAAGGAAGAGAGGAACAGGACCCTAGCATATTCTTTCCCCAAGGTGGAACGTGTAGGACCATCTGTAGGTGACACTCTCCAGACGCATCATCCTTGGTCTGAAGTCCTCTGCTCTTTTTACAACGCAACACCCATTTTTATCTTGCACAGCACAGAAGAGCTAAGTCAGCGGGTCCTCTCTGCTTCTTCCCACACAGTGGTCCTGGGTGGGACACAGGGAAGAGGTGCCGAGGGTGGGTCCGGTCAGCAGAGTCCCTTCTGCTGCGTCCAACACAGCGGTCCTGGGCAGGGCACAGTGAACAGGTTCGAGGGCAGACTCAACGGCACAGAAGGGCCCAGTCAGCGGGGTCCCATCCTCTCCTTCCCACGCAGTGGTCCTGGGCAGAACCGCACTCACCACCTCCAGGCACAGGAGCCTGAAAGCACCAGGATGAGGACACAGGAATGTCCTCTCGCAGAGCCAGTCTGGCACGTCTGTAGCCAGGGCAGAGCCATGGGTCTGGTGATAGTCAAACCCAGAGGCCTGTTATAGAGCCAACCTTCTCAGCCACCCACTGTGGGATGACCACTAATCTGGTGATACAAACCACTTATTTCCGACTAAAAAAAAACCCCTGCCTGTTGGCGGGGCCAAGTCACAGTCCATGCGGCCATCCTGGAACCATGGCCCGGTCACTGATCCTCTCCACCACCCCATGGCCTCAGCCTCGGGGCTGCCAGGACCATCTGGTCAACCCCATGGATGTGACAACAGAGCAGGCAAGAGCAGTCCCTTCAAGTCTCCAGATGGAAGCAAATTCCCGCAAAGGTGCCCCGATGACGGAACGCTTGTGAGGATCCGTCCCCCCTCACAGTCTGTGCCAGGTCCCACCTCCACAGTGAGCTGGGTCCCGCTGAGGGCACTTCTGGTGCCCTCTCAGCCCAGGGCCGTTTCCCACCTTCGGCATCTGGGTGGGAAGCACTCTCTTCTCCCATTTCCCCTGGAGCCTCAGTGGGGTCCCACAAGCAGAGGGGCACCATCTGTTTTCTGGTCAACCCGTTCTGGCGAAATCCCTCACCTAAGCCAGAAGTGTCAGCAATGGCCACACTACATCCCCCCCACTAACCTGCAGATACAATCTCCATAGAACAGATGAAGCGCAGACCCTGGGTGCTTCCGGGGTGAGCCTGAAAGTGCCGCCGACCTCCTGGAACTCTGGCCTGGACCCTGTACCCAAATTCCACCCCTTACTCACTACCGTGTTTATTCCTACCAGGAATTAACCAAAGAGCACCGCGTTCCCAAGCACTGAAACCTCTCTACCGCCCGTGGCTCTCTCACTGCCACCCCCCCCCATCAGGAGGGAGCCCCGGAAGATTGTGGAAAAGCTCAACCTCGTGAGCGGCTCCCCCTGCTCGTCTGCAGCCGAGCCCATATCGCTTGCCCCTGCCACTCCCGCCCGCCTCTCACCTCCGGAGTGGAAGCCTCCCGCGTCCCGGTGGGAAGCACTCTCTTCTCCCGTTTTCTGTGGAGCCCCAGTGGGCTCTGGTGCTGGAAGGGCACCGGCTGTTTGCTGGCCAACCGGCCCCAACACGTTAGCCAGAAGTTGCAGCTCACCGCAAGCCCCCGACAATCTCCAGAGGACAGAAGCCTCCTGGGTGCTTCCGGGGTGAGCCTGAAAGGGCCGCCGACTCCGTGGAACTCTCACCCGGGCACTGAGACCAAGTTCCATCCTTTACCCACTACCGTGATCCATCAGACTGAGGAAGCAAAACCCGAAGAATACACCTTAGACCAGGGACCTAAACCTCTCTACCAGCCGCTGCTCCAACTCACAAACCAGACCCTTGGGGGAGAGCCCCGAAAATTTAGAGAAAAATCTAAGGAGAGGGTTCTCACCTTTCCGAGGCCCAGCCCAGGGCCGTTTCCCACCTCGGATCCAGATCCAGGCTCCTCAGGCATCTGGGTGGGAAGCACTCTCTTCTCCCATTTCCCCTGGAGCCTCAGTGGGGTCCCAGGAGCAGAGGGGCAGCATCTGTTTTCTGGTCAACCCGTTCTTGCGTGCCCCCACACCTAAGCCAGAAGTGTCAGCAATGGCTACACTACTTCCCCCCCATAAACCTGCAGATACGATCTCCAGAAAACAAATAAAGCGAGGACCCCTGGGTGCTTCCGGGGTGAGCCCGAAAGCACCGCAGACTCCTTGGAACTCTCGCCCGGGCACTGAGACCAACTTCCATCCCTTACCCACTACCGTGTTTATTCCTACCAGGAATTAACCAAAGAGAGCACACGGCCTTCCCAGGCACCAAAACCTCTACCACCTGTGGTTCCGACTGATGAGCGGCTCCCCCTGCCTGTTTTCAGCCGGGCTCATCTTGCCTCCTCTGGGCCAGCTCTCAGCTCCGCAGCGGACGCCTCCCCTGTCTCCAGTGGGAGGCACTGCCTTCTCCCGTTTTCCGTGGAGCCCCAGTGGGCTGCCACGGTACAAGGGACTGGCTGTTGGCTGATGGACCGGCTCCCACACGTTAGAAGTTAAAGCACACCACAAGCCCCAGAAACCCTGCAGGTACGATCTCCGGAGGACAGATGAAGGGTGTCCCCCTGGGTGCTTCTGGGGTGAGCCTGAAGGTGCCGCCGACCTCCTGGAACTCTGGCCTGGACCCTGTACCCAAATTCCACCCCTTACTCACTACCGTGTTTATTCCTACCAGGAATTAACCAAAGAGCACTGCGTTCCCAAGCACTGAAACCTCTCTACCGCCCGTGGCTCTCTCACTGCCACCCACCCCCCATCAGGAGGGAGCCCTGGAAGATTTTGGA